TGTTAAATTTGTGTTAAACCTGCTTGCTTGTTTGAAGTGAAAAGAGTGTACCATTCTGATCTCTTTCAGTAGTTCGGCAAGCTTGAAATAATCGTTTACTGGGCTTACTTGTTGGCAGATATTCGTTCCGATATTTTCCCAGAGAATTTGTTGATCCATAAAATCAGTGTCCATTGATGATTCAGGTCGCTTGTTTCACCTTTCTTCTTTACAATGCTGGTTACACTAGGCACTTCAATAACTGTTACTAAACTTTTATGCTCTTTGTAGTGGTACATGTCACTCTGTTGAAAATGTCTTGTTCCTTAAAACTCACAAGACTGGTGGAAGCTCCATAGCCAACATCTTGCTAAGATTTGCCAAGACCAGGGATTTGACAGTGGCATTGCCTAGAAAACAAATCTTTTCTTTTTACTGGCCCTGGAGTTTTCAAGTTAACTTTGTTGGTAATTTACCCGGCAACAAGCCAAATATCTTGTGCAGTCATGCGAGGTAAGTGAAGTAATGTTGTTTTAAGAATTCATAACTGGGGTCAGTTGTTGGGGTCATTGTGCTGTGATTTTAGACTGTGAGTGATGCTCTCTATTCAGGGGTCAAGGATACTGGCCATGGGGGTGGGGTACTCCCTCATATAGGCACAAGGCTTTATATGACTGTATGTGCAACCCCAAAGGGTATGGCTTTTGAGCTGGTTTGGTCTGAAAAAGGGCGTAGAGTTTGATCATGTTGGTTTCAAAAAAGGGTATGTGTTTTAATTCTGACTTGGCATATTTTGGGGGTATTTTGTCTTCAAGACACATGCATTATTTTTTACAGTACTGCCACATTTTCAGCCTTATATGTAAAGGGTTGTTAAAAGACGCCATCTGCTGGTAAAAATTATCATCTGCGTCATGATTTTGGCAAACAAGGCTTCCCAACTCTCCTCCCACCCCACCCCCTTTTTGTCTATTAAGTTATTTTGGTAACAAGAATCAGAAATCTATCAAATAAAGTCCAAAAGCCCCCCTGTTCTCTCTCTCTGCTTTTTGTTCACTATGAAAACAATAAAAACGGAGCAATGTTGTTCAACTTCAAATGGACAAGTCATAAGCTCTGGCTAAAATATCATTGGTACCTGTACTCCAGGTAATAAAAAAAAGTTATCCTATCAAATTACTTTGAAAAGGAGAGTGGCAGACTGATAACCTGCTCATATTTTGCTGCATAAGCTCCTCCCTCTCTATCAAGTCCTCCTCCTCCATGAAGACTCGTGTCTCCTCAACATACTGGAAATAAATACGGGTGAGCTCCCCTGTAGGGTTGAGACAGCTAAATAGCAGATTTGTGGTAATCAATTTTCATAACAGTTTACAACTTTTTTCCCCAGATATAATCAAACCACCATGAGATTAATAATGCCTTCTGATACAAAGTTTATAACCATCCTTCGCCATCCAGTTTCAAGGTTTGAATCAGCCTTTCTCTTCGAAGATTTCCCTTCATTTCTTGGAATTTCAGGCTCTTCAAATCCTCTTTATCAATTCCTGCAGCAAATTGATAAATTCAAGCCAGAAATAAACACAATGTACACACTAAGAAATGGAATGAGTTTTGATCTTGGTCTGGAACCTGAGGAGTTTGATAACACGGAGGTAATCAAAAACTTTATCACCTCGGTTGAGAAAGACTTTGAGCTGGTGTTAATTATGGAGTACTTTGATGAATCTCTGATATTACTGAAGCAGCTGTTTTGCTGGAGTTTAGATGACATATTCTACCTAAAACACAATTCGCGGCTGCGGTCGTTGAAGAAACATCGCATCCCAAGACAATTTAGGAATACATTTTTGGAATGGAATAAAGCTGATGTGTTGCTCTATCAACACTTTAATCAAACGTTTTGGAAGAAAGTGAATTCCAAAGACGAGAACTTCTGGTCTGAAGTAAAGTTGCTGAAGCAAAAGTCGCTGGAAATGGAAAAGGAGTGCCTGAGTCCAGGAGAACACAGAGACCACCACAAAAAATCTGTTTCGAAATTACTTCTGAATCCAAAGGTCGCACAGAATAAGAAACAATTGTGTCGAGATCTTGTACAAGATGAAGATGCTTATTTCGATTATTTCAGGGGTAAACAAACAAATGAACAATAAAAATGTATATTTTATGTGGTGAAAATTAATATATTGAATTTTTGTAATTTGAAGTAAATACAGGAATATCTGTCAGTGAATTTCATAATTTTGAAGAAGAAACAGCTGCTCGTTCATCAATGAACTCAACCGAACAGATACAAACCACAAGTCAAACCAAAACCAATTATGACTTGAAACGCTTTCCATTCGAAGAAAAATTCCGGTTTGGTTTCCAGAAATTTCCAGCGACGATTGAACAGCATTTTCCTGAATTTCCGGAAAAGAGGACAATCTTGCGGGGTATACCGAAAGTTTCAGAAATTTCTGACCAGGAATTTCTGTTTCATTTGTGTTCCCTCCCAGAATTTCCCGTCGAATGGTTAGCTTTTCGGAAACCTTACAATTTCCGGATTTTCTGGTAACTTTTCCTGGTAATTTCCATACTATTTGTCGCTGTTTCTAAATTTTCGGTGGTTGATTGGTAATTACTGGTAAGCGCCCTTGGTCACACCAAGGCGGAAAAGGGCCGCCCTACATATAAGCGCCCTAGTCACACGCATGTCAGTTTCCCGCGCTTGGCGCACGTGGCGTGTACTCGCACCAAGCTCTGATTGGCTGGTTGTTTGGTCAATTAGAGCAGTTTTCAATCGAGTGTCCAACCAACCCAAAACCAAAGTAATTACTCTGGTCTATCGCAAAGGACGCAGAGTGTATCCATTGAACCAAGAGAAACTCCAAGCAAATGTACGAAGCTGATACGAAGCATGGGAAAAAACGTGTGCGGGCGAGTCACGATTGGATTTAGTAAAAGTATCTGATTGGATGACAAAGTGGCGCGAGTTTTTTTTAAGCCAATTGTGTAGAGTGGCAAAACTAAAGCAAATGCGAAACCGTTCTTTTAAAACGCTTGTTTTGATTGATCAGATGTCTTATTTTACCTCAAACACAGGATAGTCACACGAAAATCTGTCTACCCACAAAACGAACTTGTCCGATTTTTATTTCAAACCCACTTTTCAAAGATCTCTTGAACAACAGTCGGTGATCAGCGTAGAAAAACTGGAAAAGTGGAGTTTTTTTTACGATCGCGAGCTGTAAAGCACGTTATTGCATTGTCAGTAAGTCAAATTTCGTAAAGTATCATTCAATTCAATCGTGCGTTCGCATTACAGCGCAGTTTCTCGTCAGTTGTGTTCTCAGTATAACATCTATGCCACATTTTGGTTCCCGAGTTCTCAAATGTGATCTGATTCACTTGCGGTTTGGAAAGGGGAAATAACGGTTT